TAGGGTAAAAGGAGTTTACACTGCATGGCCACATATTACACCGCATGACCACATATGGTAAAGGATACCGGTCAAAAATTAAGTAGGGTTAACGATATCCGTCTCGATAACGATCTCCTAATTCAAGCAAATCATTTGCGGATAATATTTAAACTTTTCAACTTCATTTTTGAAATATACCGACTTGAGCAATTTATAATCATCCTCCATATTGTCAAAATTTTAGCAAATAAAAAAATTAACCATTTTTATACATAAAACTTTTATTTGTTCCACAATATTAACCTATAAATTTTTAAATTCTTTAATGGCTATGTTTTCGGATTGTAAACCATTTATTTTTAAAAAATGCGATGAGATATAAAATTATGTAATATTCACACGATTTGTCATATCTAAAATTTGCGTATGGTCCGTCATGACGTTTGTAAAAATTTAAAATTTCCGATTGAAATTTGTAAATTGCATATTCTACGATATCTTTAGTAAATTTTTATTTAATTAAGCATAGACAAATTAGTGTTATTATATACATAGTGAAATAACAGATTAACAATAGAAGATTTGCAGTTTTTAACATCAATAAAAAGAATAGAGAATTTTTGGAATGGCAAGAATAATAATAGTGGCTAAATTTATATTATTATATGTAGCAAATAATATATAAAATGAAGATTTTTCTTGAATAAAAAACTTAGAGTTCAATGATAAAGCTTGATAAATAATTGTTGAATAAAAGCATTAGTGCTTTTCGAATTCTTGTGATGATAGCCTATTATAGAAATATCAAAATTCCATATTTTTTTACAAATAATATACAGTATGATTATAGTTAGCATTGGACATATGTCCAATGCCAACTATGAGTATGTTTGTGTACTAGATCTTGTAGTTGAACAAACAACAATAACCATTTTTGGCTTTTTTTATTTAAAATTCTACAAACTGAAACAAGATATCTTGACAATATTCTATTTATTTGGTTTATTCTTAGAAGCCATTTCAAATTTTCAAACTAATAGAATTTGAAAATAATCTTAGCCTTTTTCTTTGCTGGAAAAATAAATGATAGATTTTTTACACATCATGCATGTGAACAGCGTGAATAATACAGATTACAGTTCATTTACCTATTATGTATTATTATTACATGCCAGGAAGACTTGACTCTCCAATCAATTCACTATCTCGTAGATACTGGGGAAAAATTAGCCTGAAAGGTAGGGTTGCTGGTGCAGGTGGCGTCGCCACTGGTGCAATGCTTTAAATTTATATGATAACTTAATGGTGCAGTAGTGGTGCACCACTTGCACCAGCAACCCTACTGAAAGGATCTTTTTAGATAACATGATTTGCACAAACGCGTAACATGCATACGAAATACAAATATAAATATGTGTGTTACAAATGAAAAATGATGAAATAACATTTTTTGACATTTTTATTATTATTGTATCCAAAACGCATAGAAACATGAATCCTCTGTATCACTCCGGGCAATAATAAAGTTGCAAATAAGTCTTGCAAATACTAATTTACAAATATTTAATCATAGATAATCTGTTTCATTTTCTAATCTCACTACTGTTATAGTTAAGTTCATTTACATATTGCATAAATACCATTTCTTAAAACAGTATAAAGATTTGAAAATCAGAAATTAAAACAAATGAAGTTACTAAAATGTACATATTAAATATCAGATGTACATTACATAAGAATTAAATCATACAATAAATTCTGATTGATATATAAATAATTTTTTTTTATATTGAACGCCAAATTTTCGATTACATATAAACTTTAAGTTCTAATATCTTTTTAATTTCATAAGAAAAATAAAAATCTATTCTAACAGAATTGTAGCTTAGACTAAAAGCAACAAATTTGTAAGACAGATTTTTTTTTAAAATAATTTGTTGGAGTTATAAACATTTATATATTTTGTATATAAAAAGTGGATTTTTTTTGCTGTCTGGTACTGTACAAGAAAAAAGTTTATGAAACAAATTCTCATGTCCTATAGTAAATAATTCCGCAATTTCCATTTTACCGTTAGTAGTTTTAAAATTTTAGAAATACGTAAGCAACAAATGCTTCTCGTAGTATTCAAATTTTAGCAAAACACTTTAAACTTGATGTTTTAAAACCTTAAATTCCAGTTAAAGAAATATTTGCACAGCGATTTAGAAATCAAAAATACGTACAGTTTCTGTTGAATATGATAATTCTACAAACTCTAAAACAACAGTTCTTAAAGATCCTGCCTTTTCTAATGGTTTTGTGGCTGCCATCTTTCTTGCAAGCAACAAATACTTCTCGCAGCACTCAAATCTTAGCCAAGCACATTAAAATCAATAATGAATTAAAGCCTCATATTCCAGTTAAAGAAATACTTGCTCAACGATTTAAAAATCAAAGAATACATGCAGTTTCTGTTGATTATGATAGCTCTACAAATTCTAAAACAAAAGTTCTCAAAGATCCCGTCTGTTCTAATGGTTTTGTGGCTGCCATCTTTCATGCTTATAACAATCATCAACATTTGCGCTTGAGTCCTGATGATGTTTGGCTTACAATTGCTCAAGGTGTTAGTCGTCATATTAATTATAACGCTGAAAAATTTCGTTCAAGATTTGTTAATCATGAAGGAAAAAAAGATATTAAAGTATGGGGCGGAGATATTTTATACGAAACTTCTCATAATACTCTTGAAGGTGATTGGGCAGAAATTTTAAATAGATTGGTAGCGAAAGTTGATGAATGCGTAGAAAAAATTGACCTAGCAGAGTTATTAATATGTGATTTTTCAACTACAACAACAAATTCATTGACGGCAAGTCGAATTGTATTATTAGATACTGTTAAGGCCTACTTTAGGTATATTGTGATATTGTCGTGTGGAATTCCAAAAGTTACTCTTGAAGGCACTCTCGAAGATTGGATAAAAATTCAAGAGAGAGTTATACAATTAAGAAAATTAAATTTAGAATTGGATTTTTGGCTGGATCGTCTTGACCCTGTGATTCGGAATTTAGTAGCCACTTATCGTGGTGAAATTGATGAAGACTTTTGGAGTAAGATTATTAATATACATGTAAGCTATGGTTCAGGAGGCGATTCGCATTCATCTGTTACAGGATGGATTTTAGGTTTTTTTCCATATAATAGTGGAGGAACAGCTATACATAGCAATAGCTTAGGACTTGATGATTTTCCGCACGGCACTGTTGGAGTTCCTTTTATTACTGATTGTGGTCATTCTTTAAAGTTTATTGCTGGATTTATCGGCGCTAATCAAGAAATTTCTGGTGGTGAAGCGATCGTTTCTCCTGTGATTGGATGGTCTATTATCGATGATGACTCTAATGATCCTCAAAGCGAAGAAAACGTTTGGATTGCTGAAAATAAATGGAGAGACAATCTTCTCCAGAATGACTTTGATTTACCGGTACTTGATATTATATGGGACGAAAATAATAACTCCAAGCCATTTTGATATAAAAATATTCCATAGTTCTAAATGCAAAATTAAATATTTTTTTATTGACATTTAAATATTCACATTTGAGTGTCGCTGTTCTTCGTCATTTTTCAATTTATGTCGCTTCGAAAGTAACATATGTCATTTACAAGTTTAAAAATAATGTACATTATTTCATAATCCAGTAATCGGTGAAATTTATTACACAAAACATATTTTCGTCCATGGGTGTTATTTCGAATTTGGTCCGAATTAAGTATAATTTAGGCTAAAAATTGATATTACACCCTGCGCGTTATTCCACGAAAATACAGTACGTATATTGTCGTAAAAGTTATATATAAAGATTGGAATCAGTTTAGTCGACGTATGGTAAACTACTATGCTTAATCGACTACCGTAATGTGCCATATAAACGACCCGTCTGTTACATTCCACCAATTTTCAAACCTAGATTTAGACCCGGAGGTCTTTTGTATGGGGGTGGGTATGATAATTGGGGTTTATTCTATTTCATTATTTTTTTTTAGTATTTTCCTGTTTGTATACCCGGGTCTCTTACATTTTACCAAAATTTTATCCTATATTATAGACCCGGGTCTAATTCATGGGGGATATTTTATATGGCACATTACGGTAGTCGATTAAGCATAGTAGTTTACCATACGTCGACTAAACTGATTCCAATCTTTATATATAACTTTTACGACAATATACGTACTGTATTTTCGTGGAATAACGCGCAGGGTGTAATATCAATTTTTAGCCTAAATTATACTTAATTCGGACCAAATTCGAAATAACACCCATGGACGAAAATATGTTTTGTGTAATAAATTTCACCGATTACTGGATTATGAAATAATGTACATTATTTTTAAACTTGTAAATGACATATGTTACTTTCGAAGCGACATAAATTGAAAAATGACGAAGAACAGCGACACTCAAATGTGAATATTTAAATGTCAATAAAAAAATATTTAATTTTGCATTTAGAACTATGGAATATTTTTATATCAAAATGGCTTGGAGTTATTATTTTCGTCCCATATAATATCAAGTACCGGTAAATCAAAGTCATTCTGGAGAAGATTGTCTCTCCATTTATTTTCAGCAATCCAAACGTTTTCTTCGCTTTGAGGATCATTAGAGTCATCATCGATAATAGACCATCCAATCACAGGAGAAACGATCGCTTCACCACCAGAAATTTCTTGATTAGCGCCGATAAATCCAGCAATAAACTTTAAAGAATGACCACAATCAGTAATAAAAGGAACTCCAACAGTGCCGTGCGGAAAATCATCAAGTCCTAAGCTATTGCTATGTATAGCTGTTCCTCCACTATTATATGGAAAAAAACCTAAAATCCATCCTGTAACAGATGAATGCGAATCGCCTCCTGAACCATAGCTTACATGTATATTAATAATCTTACTCCAAAAGTCTTCATCAATTTCACCACGATAAGTGGCTACTAAATTCCGAATCACAGGGTCAAGACGATCCAGCCAAAAATCCAATTCTAAATTTAATTTTCTTAATTGTATAACTCTCTCTTGAATTTTTATCCAATCTTCGAGAGTGCCTTCAAGAGTAACTTTTGGAATTCCACACGACAATATCACAATATACCTAAAGTAGGCCTTAACAGTATCTAATAATACAATTCGACTTGCCGTCAATGAATTTGTTGTTGTAGTTGAAAAATCACATATTAATAACTCTGCTAGGTCAATTTTTTCTACGCATTCATCAACTTTCGCTACCAATCTATTTAAAATTTCTGCCCAATCACCTTCAAGAGTATTATGAGAAGTTTCGTATAAAATATCTCCGCCCCATACTTTAATATCTTTTTTTCCTTCATGATTAACAAATCTTGAACGAAATTTTTCAGCGTTATAATTAATATGACGACTAACACCTTGAGCAATTGTAAGCCAAACATCATCAGGACTCAAGCGCAAATGTTGATGATTGTTATAAGCATGAAAGATGGCAGCCACAAAACCATTAGAACAGACGGGATCTTTGAGAACTTTTGTTTTAGAATTTGTAGAGCTATCATAATCAACAGAAACTGCATGTATTCTTTGATTTTTAAATCGTTGAGCAAGTATTTCTTTAACTGGAATATGAGGCTTTAATTCATTATTGATTTTAATGTGCTTGGCTAAGATTTGAGTGCTGCGAGAAGTATTTGTTGCTTGCAAGAAAGATGGCAGCCACAAAACCATTAGAAAAGGCAGGATCTTTAAGAACTGTTGTTTTAGAGTTTGTAGAATTATCATATTCAACAGAAACTGTACGTATTTTTGATTTCTAAATCGCTGTGCAAATATTTCTTTAACTGGAATTTAAGGTTTTAAAACATCAAGTTTAAAGTGTTTTGCTAAAATTTGAATACTACGAGAAGCATTTGTTGCTTACGTATTTCTAAAATTTTAAAACTACTAACGGTAAAATGGAAATTGCGGAATTATTTACTATAGGACATGAGAATTTGTTTCATAAACTTTTTTCTTGTACAGTACCAGACAGCAAAAAAAATCCACTTTTTATATACAAAATATATAAATGTTTATAACTCCAACAAATTATTTTAAAAAAAAATCTGTCTTACAAATTTGTTGCTTTTAGTCTAAGCTACAATTCTGTTAGAATAGATTTTTATTTTTCTTATGAAATTAAAAAGATATTAGAACTTAAAGTTTATATGTAATCGAAAATTTGGCGTTCAATATAAAAAAAAATTATTTATATATCAATCAGAATTTATTGTATGATTTAATTCTTATGTAATGTACATCTGATATTTAATATGTACATTTTAGTAACTTCATTTGTTTTAATTTCTGATTTTCAAATCTTTATACTGTTTTAAGAAATGGTATTTATGCAATATGTAAATGAACTTAACTATAACAGTAGTGAGATTAGAAAATGAAACAGATTATCTATGATTAAATATTTGTAAATTAGTATTTGCAAGACTTATTTGCAACTTTATTATTGCCCGGAGTGATACAGAGGATTCATGTTTCTATGCGTTTTGGATACAATAATAATAAAAATGTCAAAAAATGTTATTTCATCATTTTTCATTTGTAACACACATATTTATATTTGTATTTCGTATGCATGTTACGCGTTTGTGCAAATCATGTTATCTAAAAAGATCCTTTCAGTAGGGTTGCTGGTGCAAGTGGTGCACCACTACTGCACCATTAAGTTATCATATAAATTTAAAGCATTGCACCAGTGGCGACGCCACCTGCACCAGCAACCCTACCTTTCAGGCTAATTTTTCCCCAGTATCTACGAGATAGTGAATTGATTGGAGAGTCAAGTCTTCCTGGCATGTAATAATAATACATAATAGGTAAATGAACTGTAATCTGTATTATTCACGCTGTTCACATGCATGATGTGTAAAAAATCTATCATTTATTTTTCCAGCAAAGAAAAAGGCTAAGATTATTTTCAAATTCTATTAGTTTGAAAATTTGAAATGGCTTCTAAGAATAAACCAAATAAATAGAATATTGTCAAGATATCTTGTTTCAGTTTGTAGAATTTTAAATAAAAAAAGCCAAAAATGGTTATTGTTGTTTGTTCAACTACAAGATCTAGTACACAAACATACTCATAGTTGGCATTGGACATATGTCCAATGCTAACTATAATCATACTGTATATTATTTGTAAAAAAATATGGAATTTTGATATTTCTATAATAGGCTATCATCACAAGAATTCGAAAAGCACTAATGCTTTTATTCAACAATTATTTATCAAGCTTTATCATTGAACTCTAAGTTTTTTATTCAAGAAAAATCTTCATTTTATATATTATTTGCTACATATAATAATATAAATTTAGCCACTATTATTATTCTTGCCATTCCAAAAATTCTCTATTCTTTTTATTGATGTTAAAAACTGCAAATCTTCTATTGTTAATCTGTTATTTCACTATGTATATAATAACACTAATTTGTCTATGCTTAATTAAATAAAAATTTACTAAAGATATCGTAGAATATGCAATTTACAAATTTCAATCGGAAATTTTAAATTTTTACAAACGTCATGACGGACCATACGCAAATTTTAGATATGACAAATCGTGTGAATATTACATAATTTTATATCTCATCGCATTTTTTAAAAATAAATGGTTTACAATCCGAAAACATAGCCATTAAAGAATTTAAAAATTTATAGGTTAATATTGTGGAACAAATAAAAGTTTTATGTATAAAAATGGTTAATTTTTTTATTTGCTAAAATTTTGACAATATGGAGGATGATTATAAATTGCTCAAGTCGGTATATTTCAAAAATGAAGTTGAAAAGTTTAAATATTATCCGCAAATGATTTGCTTGAATTAGGAGATCGTTATCGAGACGGATATCGTTAACCCTACTTAATTTTTGACCGGTATCCTTTACCATATGTGGTCATGCGGTGTAATATGTGGCCATGCAGTGTAAACTCCTTTTACCCTA